CTGGGACATCCACCCTGGGGCATCCACCCTGGGATCCACCCTGGGGCATCTACTCTGTGGCATCCACCCTGGGATCCACCCTGGGATCCATGCCCTGGGATCCATGACGCCCCGGCCCCCTCCCCCTGGCGGCCCGCCCTCTGTGGGGAGTGTAAGGTCCGCCCCTGGATGGCAAGCAGACTCCACCCTCCTCGCAGCAAAGTCTCCACCCAGTACCTGCGTTACCTAGGCAACTGGGACACCTGGAAGAGGCCACATCTGCATCCGCTGAGGTCACATCTGAATTTGATGTGGCCACACCTTTCCCCCCCATACCCTAGATAAGGCCTAGCCCAGGCCCAGACTCTCTTCCTCTCTCTGTTCGTTTCTAGCTCTTGCTCTTCTTTTCTAGCTCTCTCTGCTCTCTCTCTGCTCTAGCTCTTTCCTCTCTCTTTCCCAGCCACGTGGAGTGCCAACCTTGCCTGGTCCCAGCAGGTCTACTGGATAAACCTACCCCTTACCTGAATACCACGTGAGTGCTGCAGTTCTTACTCAGCTACCTCTTTTTAAAAACCTAACAACCATCAAGTGATGATTTGGGAGAACACTGCCAACAGTAACTTCCGGTTGGCTTTGGGTGTATGCGACGGACCAGCTCGGCCGGAGCACTGGGACCGACGGGACAGGGATCTCGGGATAGGCGGGCAAAGGAGTCGGCGAAGTGACAAACAGACACAGACTCAAAAGAGTTGCATCTGAGTGTGTCTTTATTGAGGAGAATTAACACTTTTATACAGTGTGTGATTGTGACATAGATTCTTTGTTTATTTAAGCACGTAATCAATTTTTTTTTAAAGGCAAAGCATTGATGAATTATATGAAAATTGATGACTATCCCACCAACTGTTTAAGCTAAGTGGTGCGAAACAAGTCTAGCATATTGTTTAATAGAATGCGTCATCTAATTCAGCCTTTTTATGTGTAATAATTAACAAACCTAAGACAGGGTTGTACTTATATTGTACTCTTTTTAATTTTATTTTTATCCAACTAATTTCATCTTTATAAGCTCCTGTATAAGGAAATGGCTCTTGGTTGGTTCAGGAAATATGTTACTAACTTTATATTTTGTGTGAAAACACCATCTATTCCCTATAACGTAAGTTGGACCAAACTTAATCATAACTGTTGGGAGAATCTTTCTTTTTCTTATATAATCAGAGGTCTCTTCTTTTTTAGAACTCTCTAAACTACTAGGATAACTCTTTTTAACTTAGTTTAATTTATTAATTTTGTCTGTTGGACATATCTGGAAATTTTAAGTCTCTATATTTACTATGCGTGAGCTGCAAAACCGCTTGTGAAGTTGTAGGAGTTTCTGGAGGCAGCGTCACATCAGATGATAGATTGATTGGGGGATTGCCCACATTTAATCTTTGGCCTTAGTCTTTATTACTTAGAGAAGCTGTTTCTATTGGACTGGAAAAATACAACATGCTCTGTTCGTGGATCAATAGAAAAATAGCCAAAATGAGAATAAAGGCAACGAATGTACAGCCAAGAAGAACATAGTGAGAATAAAGGTAGAGGCTATAAAGGTGCAGTCAAGTGTATGGGAAGCCTTGAACCAACACCCCCTTCCTGGGGGCATGCTTCCTTGAAGCTCTTTGTCCAACGCCATCTCTCACGCAGACTCCGCAGAAGGTGGCGTGGCACCCACTGGTCACAGAAAGATGTCCACTCAGCTGGAGATACCAGGAACCACTGGAAGTGCAGAAACTTAAGCGTTTGATCTTGTTTCTCTGGCCAGAGACTATTCATTGAACTTGCAATCCCTTATTCTGCTGCCGATGTCAAATCAGAAGCCATCTATCCACCACAGGCAGGTTTATTAGATGTTCAAATTGGTTATGGAAGTGCTCCGCCCACCTGCACCGGCCTCTCTTTGCTGAACCCAGCTAAGGACTCCTTGCAGACACATCTTCATGGCTGCTTTGCCTGCTGTGATCTCTGCTCCTTTCCAAACGCTTGCTTCAGCAGCTTCCCCTCCATTGTGCCTCTAGGACTGGGTTCCAATGGTGGTTGGATACTGAGCTGCTTGTTAGAGGAGGAAACAAGAGTTGTATACAATGGCAGGTCTGAACTGGCCTGGAGGCATGACAAACGCTCTCCCAGGTGGGACTTGTCAGGGCACAGGGCAGGCATCCTGCCACTGGGCCCTGGGTCACTGTGGTGAGCAGCAGTCACACTGGAACTTCTCTTTCTCAGAGAACAACGGGTTAAGTCTGACCAGATTGTCTTTTTTAGGGAATCCAGTTCTCCACCAACTCCTGGGGGATGCCTGGGGCTTGAGTCTATGCCAGGCTCCACTCCTGTCCAGAACCTTTCATTCCAAAAGTTTCAACCAAGTGTATGTGGCGTGGCAGGTGTACTAAGTTCAGGGAGCACTCATGAGTGCCCTGTGGGCCTTTAATGGGGGGGTGCTTCTGACTCCTGCATGAGCTCCCATGAATGGCTAGATAAAGAAGCGTGTTCACAGTCTTGAAAGCATAGTTGACCTTAGGCATGCCCGAAAGCACACACATGTGTTTCTGCACCCCTGTTGCTTGTGAAGGGTTTTTTGAAAAGTTCAAAGTGAGCTCATCTTGTTAGGTTGGGCTCGCAAGGCAGACGTGAGGCTGAAGAGGGCTCTGTGGCCAGGCTGTGAAGTGTTGACCTCTGCCACACCAGGTTCTTCCGAGTGATACCACCTATACACGCCACTGACACTTCCCAGCCTACCTGCCCTGTGGTGCTCATGTGACTAAATTCTGCAGCAGATGAGATACAAGCCCAAGGCTTGTGGACCTTCTAGGAAGCGCCTTTTAAAGGGAATCTATTTTCCTGCTGGCTGGAAGGTAGATATAACTGCTGTATTCGATCATGAAACAATGTTGGGGATGGAAAGCTTGCAGGCCACAGAGGAGTCTGGTCCTCGACCGAGGGACAGCCTGCTCTGTCTGACCCCAGGCCTCATGAACAATGAGGGAAAAGCAGAGGTCTATCTTGTGAAGGTGGTTGTTCTAGGTTTTTCTGCCACCTGCCGCCTGGTGCTTATCTCACGCTGAAGTATATATACTTAGACAATACCTTCAGGCCCCTCTGAGCACTGGTTCTCTGGCTCAGCCTGCGTCCAGGGGGACTCTCATCCCACGCTGAATCTTGTCCCACTTTCTGCAGACTTCGACCCGGCCTTTGCCCTTCCACATGCTGCCAGCCGTGTTCTCCCAGGAATTCGGGGCCCCCAGGTCCTGGTTCTCGGCTTAGTCCTTCTCCCGTTGATGATCTGAACCATCTCCACACCTCTCTCTTGTCCTCTGGAAGGTTCCAGAGCAAAGCTGCCCACGGCACAGCTCTGGACCTCCATGGTGATTACTCACTGATTCTTAAAACACTGTTTTTGGCTCTAGCCTCCTTGGGATTATATTTTGGCTCTAATCGCCTTGAGATATTTTGGTTATATAGTATACATTGTCTGGGGAAAGAAAGGAAATAGACTTGCCTAAAAACATTTTAAAAATGTATCTGGGAAGGCTTTAGTTACACAAAACATCATTTCCATAAACGTTTTTGGTGCCAGTTCTGGGACTTGAACTCAGAGCCCCACACGTTTATGTGGTTTTTTCCTAATGTTCGACCTCTTCAGTCAGACATCGAGTTCAGCACTTTGCTGGTTAACTGGAATTGGAGTCCTTCAGACTTTTCTGCCTAGGTTGGCTTTGAACCTCAGTCCTCCAGGTTTCAGCTTTCTGAGTAACGAGAATTCCCAGCGTGAGCCACCTGGGCCCAGCTGCTATAACCCTCTTGTGTTCAGCGCTCTGACCTGGGCAGAGTCCTGGGGTACAGAGCGAGTTTCTCTAACTACAGATGAAGGCCTTCATTGTCCAGGGCAGAGCCAGAGCCTGGGGGAGAGGCAAGGCCCTGCCCGGTGTGTAGGGGCCATGGGGCATGGAGAAGGTGTGGCGAAGGGCCCGGGGCCTCAGAGGGAGGCCGCCAGAGCGTGAGCCCACGAAGCCGTCCTGCGCTGTCCCCCGGCAGGCAGGGCCCGCCGCCGCCGCACATGTCTACCTCGTACCGTGAGTGGAGCGTGTCTCCGCCCTCTTCCTCCCTCTCTCGGTGTGGTGGGACATGGCTGTGGTGTGTCCCGGCCCCCACGGAGCCCGCAGAGGGTGGGCTCCGCGTGTGGATGAGCTGATGAGCAGCTCTGAGCTCTCTCCAGCTGCTGCTCCCATCCTGCACCTCTCCACACCTGCACACACCTGTCCTGTTTGTCCCCCCACAGATGCCTTGTCGCCATGCTGTGGGGGAGGTGCTGTTTGCACAGCTTGTTCCTGTTTTAGCAAGCAGAAGTGCTATGCGGAAGCCAGGGCGTCCGGCTCTTGAGCGTGGAAGTATTTCCCTAAACAAACCCCTTGTGCATGTTTTTGGAGTGAGTAGATGAGGCCAGATGCTCCTCAGATGGAGGCCTTGAGCCACGTGGCTGGGAGAGAGGGCACAGAGGTCAGCCCCCAGCGGGCACACCGCCACGAGTGTGTACACACCACTGAGAGTGTCCCCAGGGTCCACGGCACCCGGGGCAGTCAAAGCCGAGGGCCAGCGTGCCGCTCCAGGGCAGGCTTTTAGCACACCCGGCCAAAGCCACCGCCTCTGCCTTGGGCTCTTCAAGCTGGAGCTAGGTGCTGACCCGCAGCTGCTTCGGGGACAGCCCGGTGGGCCTGGCTCAGGGAGTGTGTCCTCTGGATGGACCTTGCATGGCAGTACTGCTCTTCAACAGGGCTTCCTGCCTTCCTCCCTTGCCCTGTGCTCAGAAAGGGCGTGCAGCACCACGTCTGTAGCTAAGCACGGTTGCAAAGCCGGGCGTCCCCGGAGCCGTGCAGGTCAGTGGCCGTCTCTGCTCCTGCCCTCCTGCCACACAGGATGTGACCATCTCTCTGGGGACCTCCTGCTGAGGGAGGAGGAGCAGGTGTGTGTGTGTGTGTATGTGTGTCCTTCCTGTAGCTGGATCAGCGGTGTCTCTCAGAGGACCTCTGTCATCACTGTTTCTGTGTTGGGTGGAGTGGGTCACCCAGGCTCTCATTTTGGTCCGCGTGACAGCGCTTCCCCTACCTGAGGTGGCTGCATGCCGCCGAGGCTGTGGTCTGGAGGAAGGGGTGAGTCCGGCCTGCCCGTGTCTGGCTGTCCGTCCAGGATCGCTGCTGTTGCTGCAGTCTGCCACGCGTGCGGCCATGTGCCCCGTTCTCCCAGATGCGCAGCCCATCCCCAGGGCTGGCCACTGGCGGGCGTGGACGCATGTCCCTCCAGTGAGTCTTGGGGCCCCCATTTTCTTGTCCCATGTTGGAGGAATCCCAGGTAGCCTGGGGTGGGTTCTCTGGGATGACGGGGCTCGGGGGCTGGTGGAGCCCCCTGCCAGGGTCACCTGACAGTGACCCCTTCGAGCGGCACCGGGTTTGCAATGCCCCAGAGCCCCACCTGGTGGAGGCTGGGTCCTGGCACCGTCCTCTTAGAGGCTGGTGGAGCCGTCCAGACGCTGGGCGTGGGGAGAGGACTTCAGGTCGCTGGAGCTGTGCGTTGGAAGCAGGTGTGGTAGCTCTCACTCCTTCTGCTTTCCAGGCTTGAAGTCAAGCTAGTTCTCTTGGCTGTGGCTCCCACTATGCTGTTCCGCCTCAGTAGAAGCCAGAGCAACTGCGCTGGGCAGGCGTGCACGTCAGCGCTGTGAGACAAAAGAAGCCTTTTCTTTATGAGCTGATTTCCTCAGGAATTGGTCAAAGAGAGCTGACTCACACAGGTGATGGCGTGTGGACAAAGTATCATCTAATTTGTCTGTAAAGACACACTGTAACAGCTGGTCGGGACGGCCCAGGCACCTTACTACAGGTGCATCCAAGAAGTGCTTTCTTTCTTTAGCTCTATTCTGCCTTTCGCCGCACTATGAAACTCTCAGTGAAAACCGTGGGCCCCGTGGAGTTACATATTTACATTTGCAGCATGCTTGCAGCTCTCTTTTTTTCTCAGTCATTCAAGCTGTTTTGTGTGTTCCAACTTAATAACTTTCTATAAATTCTGTTCGCTCATTTATTTTTTTCCTTTTTTGAGTAACAAAGGTTCTAATTGTAGGCAGCTCACTAGGAAATAAAACCTAGATGTGTGTTATCATTTGGCTAGTGTTTTACATGATTGACTGCTGGACACTCAAATGTGCCTTTTGGAATTCCCTCTTTTCTCCTATGTTTGAATCTCAGAACCATTTTATTTGTAATGCAAGTGGATGTTATGACTTATTTCTGCAGAGTTCTCTTTCAAACCAGCTAACTTTTCTGTCCAGCAAATGTGTAAAGGATGCTCTGAGATGCAGCCCTGCTGGGAAGGGCAGCCCGACTCCTCTCCACGAGAGTCCCCTGTGGCTGTGTCTTTTCCAAGGTGGATTTGAGGTGTCCCTGTCTATTCACCATAAAGCCTACAATTGGGCTGGATGCAGCTCATTGGCAAAGCACTTGCCTCACGCATGAAATGTCCTGGGTTCCATCCTCCACACCAAAAGAGAAAAAAGACAAAAAACAAAACAGTTTCAATCTACAACTTTCAGTCAGAGTGGGGGAGGGACTCACCGAGGCATGGAGGGATTTCCTGCGCTATCATTGACTTGACCCACAACCGGGAACCTAGCCGGGAACCTAGACGCACCTTGCTGTTGGCGGAGACCTCCCCGGGTCAGGCCACAGCACACGCAGTGTCCAGGACCCAACAGGGGTCCCCCGAGGATCCTGGCCTTTCTGGAAGAGCTAGTACAGTGTTCTCCGAGGTGAGCCGGCCACACAGGGCACTTCTTCTACATCAAGAGGACCAACCCCGCATCCTCCAAGCCTGCAGGGGTGAGGGGTGTTTCCTGAACTTCCCGCACCCGTGGCCCGGGAACCTTGGCCTGGCCTGCCTCCGACCCTGGGTGCCGTGGCCCAGTACAGGTCACCCTGGTCAGCGCGGTGACCACAGCACTGTTTCTGTGCCTGTGACACGGCGGGAAACACTACCACGAGCGGCCAGTTCCTGAGTACCAGTGGCCGTCTGTGCCCCTCCCATCCCGGCCCCGTCCCTTTTCTCCTTTTCATTTGTTTTCCCCCTTTACCCCAGGTCTGGGGTTCTGTTCTCAGCTCCCCAGTAGAACGGCAGCTCCCGGGAGCTCTGTGGCCAGCCTTGGGAAATGAGTGTCATGGCTGGGCGGGGGCTGTGGAGGGGCCGGGCAGTGGGCACAGGGTCTGCAGTGGCCGTCCGTCATCCACACCAGAGGCTCTGCACTGACACAGAGTTGGGGGCCGCAGGGCCGCACGGCTCGGACACGGAGTCGGAGATGTACCAGGCACGTCCCCCAGGGAGAAGCCAAGGCGTGGGCTACACGCCTGGCGAGTAGAGAATGAGCTGTGGCCTTGGGCCAGGGGGCCCAAGGTGGTGCAGTTGTGGCGGTGCCCCCTCGGAAGGGGAGCAGAGCCGAGGGCCTGGGCAGCCAGCGGTGTGGGCCCGCCCAGCCCTCCTTCGCTGACTGTGTGCTCTGTGCGCCTGGTCCCCTTTTCCCAGTGGGGTACAGCCCCTTACCCTGAGAAGTGTGGACATGGGGACCTCTAGGAAGGGGAGGCCCTGGGAAGTGGTCCCCTGGGCCCGGAGGGACACAGCAGACAAGGGGGTCTGGATTCTTGACTGTCCATCCACGGCCTCCCAGGACTGGTGGGGCCTGGCCACTCTCGGCTTTCCACCAGCACCACGGCGGCTGCCTGCCCTGCTCCGCCCTCCGCACTGCACGGCACAGCACCACCGCGGCTGCCTGAGCTGCTCCGCCCTCCGCACTGCATGGCACAGCACCACCGCGGCTGCCTGCCCTGCTCCGCCCTCCGCACTGCATGGCACAGCACCACCGCGGCTGCCTGAGCTGCTCCGCCCTCCACACTGCACGGCACCAGCACCACCGCGGCTGCCTGAGCTGCTCCGCCCTCCGCGCTGCACGGCACAGCACCACCGCGGCTGCCTGCCCTGCTCCGCCGTCCGCACTGCACGGCACAGCACCACCGCGGCTGCCTGAGCTGCTCCGCCCTCCGCGCTGCACGGCACAGCACCACCGCGGCTGCCTGAGCTGCTCTGCCGTCCGCGCTGCACGGCACCAGCACCACCGCGGCTGCCTGCCCTGCTCCGCCCTCCGCGCTGCATGGCACAGCACCACCGCGGCTGCCTGAGCTGCTCTGCCGTCCGTGCTGCATGGCACAGCACCACCGCGGCTGCCTGAGCTGCTCTGCCGTCCGTGCTGCACGGCACCTGTGACCAGGTTGGGGTCATCCTTCCTCTGTGGTCCTCACCCTCGTGACCCCTGCGTCTCTGGCCAGGGTCTTGGGCCATCCTGGCCCCACATCCCCTGTGGGGACCTGAGGCTGTGAGGTTGGGAGTGGCGGCGGGGGGGGGGGGGGGCAGGGAACGTTTGCTGTAGTCTGTGACAGCTGTAAGTTTTCTTTGCGGTGGTTCTGTATTTTATTTTATGTCAGTTTTTGGACTTTCTATTACATCGAACTGTAAGTTAACTGGCACCCAGCTAAGGCACTTCCCAGGTGTGAGGTCTGCACAGGGACATCCCTCCCTCCTGGCTAAGCTCCCGCCCAGATCTGTTACCTAGGTAACGGGCAGACGGGGAAGCAGTCACCTTCCCCTCCTGCTAGGTCATATCCTAGGTCACCTCTGGTCACATGCCTCCCATCTGACCTTAGGAGGATCCCAGGAGCTGAGGTCACGTCCAGATCCAGTGTGGCCTCACCTTTCCCCCTGGCCACACCTCTTCCTGTCCCTGGCCTAGCTAAGTCCTGGCCAGGGGTGGGTCGCCCTCTTTCTTTTCAGCCAAGCCGCTCCTCCATGCGCGGTGGGGGGCAGCAGGTTGGTAAATAAACTTCTCCTTCCTGAATTGCACGTGGTGTTCTCTTCATTGGCTGCCTAATGAGACCTCCTACTTCTATCCCCCACACCTGTGTCACTGCACGGCCAGGCGTTGGTTAGAGCTTGCTCGGCCTCCACTGTCAACACGAAGCTGCCCTGGCTGGTGTATGGCTGTGCCGGCAGAGTGGGGGCCGCTCTGGCTGGTGGCCTGTACCCCACGGGACAGTGTCAGCAAAGGCCGATCTCAGACTGACGCTTGGCAGGGATCATCTCAGCCAAAAGCATCTTTGGAGAATAGGATTTAATCTCCACCATTCTATTCAGCTTTGTGAAGGGGGGGGATGGGGCGAGGTGGAGTTAAATCTGCTTGGGATATTTTCATGTAAATTTGGAATGTGATCACTGGGCTGGCCACTGCCACCAGCAGACACAGCGGGCAACCTCGGAAAAGCAAGCCTCATTCATCCACGCAGGGCTTTATGAACGGCCGCTCCGCTTTCCTGCCGGCGTCCTGCGCCGTGATGCAGTCCCACACCACACAGCTCCTTCTGTCCCCGGCTGGACGCTGGCCAGCCATGCTGGCCCACAGAGCGAGATTGCTTGTGCATGAGCCAGCTCAGCCCTGGAAATCGCTGCACAACAAAAGCCTTCTGTCCCGGGTTTGACAGTGCACCCCCCCCCCCACAGTGGTCGGGCCCAGAGAGGCCCCTTAACTAGGTCAGCCGGTTGGGGCCGTGTGCACCCGCGTCTAGCTCAGTGGGCCAGGAAGCCCCTGGGCCAGGGAGAAGCTCCCCCCCCCCCCCCCCCGGGGGTGACTCTGGAGGCCTGGTTGGAGGAGCTTCGCTGCTCTTCACACCTTTCCCTCCCTTCCTGCAGCGCGTGGTGGGCCTCTCCCCTTCAGGCCCAGTCACAGGCCTGCTGCCAGTGAGGCCTGAGGGCTCCCCACAAATCCGAGCCGGCATGTGAATCGGCCGTGGCATTGTCTGACTTGGTGCCCAGGCATGTTTGGCTTGGCTTCGGACCTGAGCTGTCTGGAGGCTTCCCCCAGGAGCCCCGTGGGAATGGTGTGTTCTCCGAGCCGGCGAGGGCTCGTCCAGCCAGGCTCTCCGGGGGTGGGCTGCTTTGGAGGAGGCGGCTGACGCGGGGTGACCACAGGAGTTCCTGAGGCTGGGCCGTGCGTTGAGACACAGGAGGGGAAGGCCCCGGCCTCCGCACCTCAGCTTCCTCCTCGGGAAGGGACAGAAGCTTGGTCTCTGGGCCCCAACGTGACAGTGAATTTTAACTGTTAGTCATAAGGCTCTGAGTCTGAGTCTGGTGGCGGCACGCCAAAGCAAGCTGTGTGCAGCTCCACACTCTAACAGGTCCTGGGTCCCGCGCACAGGCACTCAGCCATCGGCCGCCTGCTGAGGCTCCAAACCCGCCTGCTGGTCCCGGAGGAGCTGGGGCGGACGCCATGGAGAAGCAGGGAGGGCTGGCCCCAGGGCCATGGGCACAGTGACGGCCAGGTGTCCCTCCGTCCCCTCCACGCGGAGAAGAGCCATGTGAGCCAGCACTCAGTGCTCGGTGCTGGCTAATGTTTACAAAGCCATCAAGTCTCAGATTCCTTCCGGAAACATCTAAGGTGTTCTGGACAGGGTGTTGCCAGGGCCCAGTCTCTCTCCCATCCTCTCCCTCTGTAAACACGGCATGCTCCCATGACTGCTGTGACCTTCTGTAACTTTACCCACACGTTCCAGATCTTATTCTTCCTTTAACAATTGCCCAATGTGGGGTTTGCTTGTTCAAAAGGTCTGGCCGGTATCCTTCAGGTGTGAAGAGCTGTGTTAGGAAACTTGCCAGGTCTATAGTACAGCCAGGCTGCGCAGTGGGGTCTGTCTCCCAGCGGGTTGATCACAGGCATACCAGACCCGGGATAATATGGTTGCTGTTGCCTTTAACCAATGAAATAAAATGCTAGTGTCACATCACAGGCAGACCTGGTAGAGACCAACCTGGTGCAGGCAGACCTGGTACAGGTAGATCTGGTGCAGTCAGACCTGGTACAGGTAGGTCTGTTTCATGTGGGTCTGGTACAGGTAGATCTGGTACAGGCAGACTTGGTAAAGGCCGACCTGGTACAGGTGGATCTGGTACAGGTGGGTCTGGTACAGGTGGGTCTGGTATAGGCAGACCTGGTACAGGTGGGTCTGGCACAGGTGGGTCTGGTACAGGTGGGTCTGGCACAGGTGGGTCTGGCACAGGTGGGTCTG